AATTCCCGAGCATCCGTCTACGAAATTCTAGAGTCGGAGTTCTGACGGTAACATCAATCAGCTAAGTGACAAACCTTTTACTTGTATTAATTCTGTCTGTCTGTCTGTCTCTCTCTATATATATATATATATATATATATATATATATATATATATATATATATATATATATATATATATATATATATATATATATATATATATATATATAATGCATGCTAAAACTAAAAAAAGAAGCTTCGCATCCAAATAACTAACATAACCAAGATGATATAAATATATTTGCAGTAGAATACCTACGGACGATAATGAGTATGTTCCCATTCACATAAATACAGTGGTAAATACTGTATGTTGGTCTGCGGTCTGCAGTTGGAGATTCCTTGTGGAATTCATTTGACTCACTTCTAGTAGTTGACTACTACTTCTACGCGCCGCTGGCGAATCTTATATGTGTTGTTCTTGTCCTAAGTCTTATCGTTCATTACCAACCTTCGTGTGATTATTCTATTCAGTAACCTTCCTAGGTTACAAGAATATTTTAACGGTTTATTTGGATATTTTGAGCATGTTGGCTATCTCCCGTCGTTTAACGTTGATTATTCTCAAGGTCTTGATTTGTTCGCTATCAACCTCAACCGTGAACCATCAGTCAGCAAGAAATGTCCATCTGAAACTTCACATGCCATTTTGACACATTTGATCATGATCAATACCTTCTCTATAAACTGTACAAATATATACATTTTTGTTTAAATCACATTTTCTTAAAATAATCGAGAATCAATAACGAAAAATATATCAGTTTTGAAAAATTCAAAGAAATGTATGCTGATAAGACAACTCTCAGAATACAATCAAGGACGATCTTGTTCAACGAACTGAGTTTTAAAATTTAAAAAGGACAAAACAACTAAACCCATTTCACGACAAACAGAGCGAAAATAATGATTGTGCTTTTCTTACAAAAGCTAAAAATAAAATTGTATAAAATCTGAAAGTGAAATGAATTCATTTACACAAGTGGGAGAATTTTAACAGAAAATAAGGACGAACAAACACGAAGCTAGTTAATTATATGATTTATAAATATATACAAAAAACAGATACATGTACAAAGAAGAAAAAGGAGCGGTTGAAAACTATAATTGCGTTTTCGGCGTCCCATCTTATCTTAAAAGAAAGAGTTCATTTAACTTGATTCAACGTTGGTTGCTTTTTCGTCGACCAAGACGACCCCGGAACCGATAAACATGTCTATGCAGGGGGACGTCAAGCAACAATGAGAGAAAAAAAAGTTAAAGAATGTTCTGGGCACCCACTGATGTTGGCTTCTGATTGGCTGGTAGAATGTGTCGGACTTAAAAGTAGGGGGAGATAATTCTGTTCACATTATAATTCTTAATATATTTCAATAACAACGCAGCCGGAAAATAATTACGTTTTTTTTTTCTTTTGTAATCGTTTTTCTCGATTTTGTGAACTGTTGTTTGTTCTTTGTATGAAATAGACAGCACAACATCCATATTAGCATTCTAAATTCCATCTTTGCTGGTAAATTGCCATCCGCCAATGTAAAACTTTCTCTTCAGAATGTGCGCAACAAGTGTTTCAATCGGGCTAAAGTCAGGCGAACAAACTGGCCACTTCATCGAATAATTGTATCTTATTTAGATATTCATTAGTTTTATACTGATAAATACGACAGAGCATTGTCTTTCTGAACACGTTTGAACTCTTCTGGAACTATGACTCCACGGGTACCTTCAAAAATCGATATATAAACTGAAAACTCTCTATAAACGCAGCATTTCACCCGAAAACGCTGCTGGTGAGTGATGCAAATGAGCAGCACAAGTAACTTGAAGACAAAATAATGACATCTTCAAGATGCTGACTTTCCACACGATCGCAAATAAAATGTTAGGAAGGAAGCATCCGTCAGTGATAGAAAGAGCGATAACAGTTAGCGGGCATGAGAAATCTATTTTCATTAAGAGAAACATTTTATATAGGTAACTCCATGAGATCGCTAAAAAAAAGAGCATAGCATGATGAAAAAGACGCCAAACTTGACGAAAACAAAATTTTATCGTCTAAATGTTCATGTTATTATTAAGAGGAAAGATCAAAGTATTTTGGGGGTATTTTTTTTTTACATTTTTTAATCGTTCCTAGCACGTCCGAAATTTTCGTTAAAAATCTTGTTTTTTTTTTTGAGTCAGCAAAATTGGCAAATAATCAATCATGACAACCCTTTTTTTCCATTTTATAAAAAAAAATGAAAATCTCACTTTGAAATTCTTTTAAAAATCAATTATCATTTTTTCAAAACTTATTTTAAGAAAATCAGAAATTATAATGTTTATTTAAAATATTTTGAACAAAGCTTAACTTAGCTTCTGCGCCGAAAAGATGTAATTTAAAAATAAAACAAAGCAGGTCATAACTTTTCGCGTCACTTGACAGGTGACGAAAGACATTTTCATGACATTTAGAT